ATAATTCTTGTTTGGCAGTCCAAACTGCAAAAGAAGTAACTCTATATATTCACCCCTTTTTTTAAAAGAATAAAGGTGACGGATGAAAAGGAGTAATTTATAATTACAATCAATAAACAAGAGTTAAAACTCTAAGTCATTAGGCTTGGATATTATGAATTAAAAGGAAAAACTATGCACCTTTTAACAAGTCCTTCACGACTCGGACCCAACCTGTTTCACTCATCCTGGTTGGGAGGATCGAACAAAAAGAGAACTCACTCTTATTGACAAAATTATTGAGCAGTAACTGAACAAAATCCAGCAACTTGTTTCACTCATCCTAAAATAAGCATGGTTGAGTCTACAGAGGAGAATACTCATTCTGAACACATTCTACTAATAAGCTATTATGATCTACTGTGTTCTCTTCTAAAATCTGCTATTATCCTGTCATATTACAGGTTTTGAAAGCGCCAAATATAAGATTCAAGCCTGCTGAAAAGCAATAATCCATTAACAGTTCTGTTTTTGAGTTTAGTCCAATATCCAGTTGGGAGATGAAAAAAAAGGTGTATTAAACAAACAATGAGGATCATCAATGTCATTAAAAACCAGTAACCTAACTCAAACAATAAAACAATTGCTCCCCACTAATCAATCAGAGTATCAGACAACAGACTCCTATAACAAATAATACTAAGAACGTAGCCCTGCTACAACTTAAAAGAAGGTATCCACTCAAACACTTTCATCCTAATTCTCTCTACCCTAAGAGAGATATTATGTTATTTTATAACAAAGCACAAGATGTAAAACTCAAACACGATGAAGCTGAAGCCAGGTCTCCAACCCAAACAACAAAACTACAAGACTTCACATCTTTCTAGACCAAATTGATCCATGTGCTTTCCAGATTGAACATACTATTATTAGTGTCTTACACTTGACAGGAACATATTGCAAAAAGCACAAGGTATCCAATAAAGAAGACCCTATCCAAAAACTACCACATGTCTCAATTTAGAAGATAGAGCAAAACTTTGAGAATGGCAACATGTAATCATTGACATTTTACAGACAAAAACTGAATGGTAAAGGAATCAAACATGTCAATGATGAAATTAAGGATAGAATAGGAGCGAATAGACATAAATGAACTCAAAAACATCCGCTTGATAGTTGATATCACTATGAATAGCTTATAGCTTAAATCTTTTCCAACAAAGATAACAAAAACAATCCATGAGAATAAAAACGATTCAGACAGTACAGTCAAGCTAATACCATAATTTGAAAGTAAATAAGCCTACGTCCCATAAAAGGACTAAACAGAACCAACCCCAATCAGCCCCATTCAGTGAGAATTTACTCTTCCTCGGAGGCATTCTCACCACTCTTCTGGTTGTGCTTCCTTGCATACCTCTGGTTCCTCAGAAACTTGGGATCCATCTACATAAATTTAAAAACAGCAGATAATACCCAAGAAAAGTTAATAAACATCACCATGGAAAGAAACTAAAAACCAGTGAATATGGGCAAAAAAACACACATAAATCCATCATAATCACCAAAAAGTAAATATAAAAATTACTCAAGAATTAATAAATTGAACCCAGAAAAAGAACGAACAAGGGGAAAAACCATACCCCTTTGGTGGAAGTGTGGCGATGCCTCTTGGGCTTCTTGATGCCGTTCTTGTGCGCCTTGTATGACTGGTTGTGTGCGGTGTGGTTCTT